CTAGAGGATAGAAAGCAAATTGAGCTGTTAGTGGAGTTGACTGATCTTTTTTTGTTCCTTACTGAGCTAGCAGAAGTTGGAAGAGCATCAGTCCGGTATTCCCGAGGAGCGTCTGCTGTGACAGAAAATGACCTTGAATTCTCACAGGTAATCACCGTGTACAAACTCCCTGGGTTAAACAATGCTAATGCCGTATTTATTAGACTCTGCAAATCTTAATATTTTACCTGTTCTTGCTCATTTGTGGGGTCTTCTTGAACAGGAACCCAAAGTGTTGCAAAAAATGAAGGGCGGGGTATATGAATTTTTGCATTCTCCTATGCAGGGTTAAGTGACTTGGGTGGGTCTTTGCTATAAAAAAGCTGCATTCTTCTCCTGAAATAACCACCATGTGCTATACCAAAGTCACACAGGCAGAGGCACTTCAGTTTTACCATCAAGCAAATTGATGGTAAATCAAAGTGAAGGAGGAGTTTTGAGGTCCCCGAAACAGCACTGTCACTGAATTTTTATTAGTCACGCATTTGGGTCCCCAAGGCAAAGGCAAAAGAAGGGTCTGTTTATCTGTGAAAATTCACACAAGGGGAACAAACGACGCAGCCCCAAACACGCGGCCACGTTCTCATTCTCTGAGCGCATTCCAGAGAAGAAAAGTGATTTCAGCAGCAGAGGAGGAGGAGGAGGTGTAGGGTGCGCTCCCACACCTTCACTCTGAGAGCAGGACTATTTTAACAGCCCCAGGAATAGTTACTGGCAATAATTCACAGAAGACATTAAAGCAAGGACAGCTACTAGAAAAAGATGCAAGTCAAAAATGCCCAGCCAAGCCTCAGAGACCACTACATTACAAATTATACTACGCAACACTTGGAGAAAGAGCAGGATACAGTATGGCAACTCGAATCTGGGAGCCCTGTACATTAGGAGCCCTGCAATGAACATGAAGTATAAATAAACAAATAAATGTGAAGGATTCACCACACTTAAACCAGACACAGCGATGAAGAAGACAACTATTAAAATATTACAGGATGTTCCACATTCTTGATAATATGCTGAAGACCAAATAATATGGATATTTAGAAAAAAGAGAAGTGTGCGAAAACATTGACAAACGGTTATAGCAGAAACTGAAAAATAAAACCCAAGCCGTGACTGTATAAACACAATGCCAATTATGGGCAGCATGCTGGGGCTGTGAGAGTATCAATACAACACTCTGCAGGTGGGCAGGTGGTGCTACGATAAATGGGTTTTCCTAAAAGCAGCCCTGTGGAGTCCTTCTACAATACTGGAAAAGGTACCGATACTGTAAACTCACTGAAGCCTCTGTCTGCGTAAGAGCTGGGTCTCTCCCAAAGACTTCAGGCAGCAAAGAAATGCACTTTTTGGTAGCAGGAGTTTTACAGCAGAGTATTTTAACCAGACCCCTGGCAGCATCTGGCAGGAGCGGTGAGACCCGGTATCACCATTCCCACTTTCAGGCAGGGGAGCTGAAGAACAGAGCTGGGCACTGACCTCCACGGGGTCCCACAGGCGCTTGTGTCAGCCCGGGAACCGAATACGGGATGCGACTGCAACGCTGGGGAGCTGGGCTCTGACCAACAACGCCCACTTTCTCCACACAACACCAGGTTATTCAGGAGAGTTTGAAATATTCATGTATGGAGGTTTAATTTGTCATCCTAGCCAGACTGGGAAAACACGTCAAATGCAGAGTATCTGTTCTGCTGACGACATTTACATTTGTGATGGGCGCAATTAGCTCTGGTGGGTCACGAACACCCATTTTTCTTGGCTATTAGCCAGCAGCTGCTAGCTACAAAGTCATGTCCTCTCCTTGTCGTGAAACTGTCCTGCTTAATATAATGAAGCATCACAACCTTTCTCTGAAGGTGCATCTGCCAGAGAGGCTGTGAGGAACGGCTTTTCAAACTGACCCAGGAAAAAGGGGTTGGATGAGACCCTGCCTGTTTTAGAGACAAAAATACTCACGGTGATGTGGATCACATCACCTAAAGTCAGAGTGAGATGTCATCGAAATCTCCTGAGTATCTAGGCTACCTGTGTGCAATCTGACTCAGGAATTTGTTCCCTCAGCATGGTAACACCACGGTGAAACAGAGTACGGGGCACGGCAACACGAAAAACTTCTGCTGCAACGTTGTGTGTGTGTGGCGGGCAGACGGAGCCTTCCCCGTGTTGACCTTTTGTCCCGAGAGCCGGGGACTGTGGGACTGCCCCTGAAAAAGGAGCTGTGGTCACGTTAACTGGCTTACAGCCGTACCGTACGTACCCAAACGAAGCTCTACTATAAGCAATGCTTCTCACTCCTAGCAACTTTCCCAAGTCTCAGTCACTGGAGCTAAACTTTACCCTCTGCCTCAGGCTGGCTTGTTTATGGAAGGGGAGAAACCACAACAAAAAAAGTGCTGCTATGTCCGAGGAAAAGGTTAAGGAAAGCAGGTAATTTTACCAACTCTTAATCAAAGTTTCCAATCGTTGTATTTTTTTGAGAAGATTAAGTATAATTAGGATTCAGCATGGCACATGGAGGGGGGGGTCAGATACCTTTTGACATCCTCAAGAAATGCAGCCCAAGGTTAGCCAAGATACATGGCTCAGAATGCATACTGCATTCATTCAGAGCCCTTACGATCGAGGAGGTCTGTGCTTTGGAGGAAGGCAACTGCCATCCCTGTTTGCATCGAAGCCTGGCTGAGCACAGGAGGGTCCCTGCAGGGCTGCACGGGAGTTCCCTGCCAGCCCAGGTACCCATGTTTCCCTCCTCTGGAAGCCAGGTTATAGGAAAAATAGTACGTATGTGCCATACCACTGGCGCAGCGTCAGAATACAAATGAAGCATGATGCCAAAGGAAGCTGGGACACAGCTGTTTAAGATGGCCTGGACAGCACTGAACTCTGAATTCAGGTGACTGGCTGTAGGCTCCTCGTCTCACGGAGCACAGCACTCCGCTCCTGAGCTCCAGCAGGCATCAGCGTAGCCCACAGTACAGCAAGGGAGTGCTGCAACCTGCTCTTGGTCACACCAGTCCTTGCCTGTACATTGGAACGACTCCTGCATCACATGTATTGCAGAGATCACCCCAAGCTCTTTGTAGTCGCCTCTGAGACATGCCCCGATTTCCATCACTCCTGTAATTCATCCCGACACTCTGTGAGTCGGAATGATGCTCTTGGAAGATCAGAGGTATCACGTGGGCACCACCACTGCACTGCCACAGCCAGTGCATAATCACAATCATTTGCAAACAGTGAATAACCGTGGGGTTCAGAACCATGGAGCACCTGAAATGTCAAGTCAACTCAGTGGGATTCAGGGAGTATCAGTATACTAGTCTCCATGTGCCTGGTCACTGCTTCCCCTGCCCTGAGACAGGACACCAGCTCTCCCCAGCTCCCAGGCTGTGGCCCTAGGTAGATCCACGTTGGGCTGCATCCCCGTCTCCATCCCACACCAGCGCCCTCTGCCTTTCCCATGCTGCAAAGTTCCTCGTGTGGCAAAAAACCTGCAGTTACAAACACACGGTTCACGCATCGGCTTCATTACAGCCAGGGTTTGATGGAGGAGGGTATGCCTAAACCCAGGCCTTCCAGAGCTGCCTGGCAGGCAGAGCACTGGGCAGCTGCCCGTTCCCGCTTGCACTCCCGTCGGCTGGGGACTGCCGTCTGCTGGCCTCCCGCTCCTGGAGAGAAGGGAAGCTTTAGTGTTTGAGCTTACTCGGAGCAGAGCAGGAAGCCTCGGAAGTGAGAGACCGAGACAAATGTCTTTGAAGATGCAGTAAAATGTAAGCACAGTGTATTTACTGGTGATGAGATCCAGGACAGATAAGCAAGTTTTTGAGCATGCCTTACCTCATGGGGTTCTTCCTTTCCTTTTAGCAAAAGGTAAGGAGAAGGGCTTCCCTGTCTGTCGCCACTTTCCTGCTGCTGATTTTTTTAAGGTAAGAATACACACTTTTGTTTAACCAGGTAAACTTTTTTTTTATAGCTGGGGCTTGCTCTTGTATTATTGGGGGCTTAGTAATTTCCTAATACTAGAATTGCTTGTTTAATGATGGGAGCTGTACAAATTCCTCAGCCTTCCTTCCGAAGTACCTATGTGCCAAAAGCAATCAGAAACCCAGATAAAGAAAATCCCCCGTTATTAGCTTGGGTGGGTTTTAGGTCGGTTGTAAGCATTCACCAGTTTGTGAAAGGGCAATGGCAACAAGTCACTTCAAGGGTCAAGGCATTTTCAAATGGAAGAAAGAGCAGGGGCACCGGTTTGGAGACTCTTGTAACAAACTACACTTGTAATCCAAGTTTGTTTTTTTTTTTTTTGTATAAGAATCTCTTCTTTTAAAGCACAGTGGTGCACAATTTCAAAATACCATGTCCTTCTGAAAATAAGCCAGATTTTTTACAAGCAGCTTCAGACTGGAGAGCTTAATGAGGCAATTTCCTTGCAGTCAGGCTTGGGGAAGGAAGGGTGGTGACACGCGGAACATAAGGCTTGAGCATTTGGAGCCAACTTTGTCTGTTTCTAAACACCCTTATATATGATCATTTACACTGTTATTATACAAACTTCTGACGGCCAATATGATGCTTCATTTAATGTATGAAGAGGCTGAAATCGCTAGGTAATCCTATAGAGAAATGGGTCATTTCTGATGTCTTCATTTTGTACCTAAAACCAATGAAGAGGCCCAGACTGGAATTGTCACAGTTTGCACAGATTTTATTTCATATGGGGATCCACAGGCCACTGATGCATTTTTTCTGTCATGTGTTAGCTCTGGGCTACACTTACGTTTTGAACTTAAAATAATGTACCACTGAATTCTTTAAAACAAAGAACACCATGGTAAAATGACCAGCATGTTGCATTCAGCATGAAATAGCTTCCCAAGAAAGTGTTGCTATTTGCATACTGAAACTCAGTTTTTTATTAGTCTGAGTAATACATTCTGTTTAATTAGTCTTGTCTATGAAGC